AACTCGCTTTTTCGCACAAAAACAAACGCAAAAATCTCACAGAAGCAACAAAGCGACCATGTATGGGCTAGCACAAGTTTTAACCATGCCATATGCTTTTTAAGAGTCTGTATTTGTTATTATCGTAACGCTGTGCAGATCACGCTGGAAGGTGAGTTTTATGACGTGAATGTGGAACTCGTAAGTACACTCACAATGCAAATAATTCGCAAAAAATAGACCACAATGTGATAAGAATTTTTTCAGCTGACTGGAAGAATAACATGTATAGCTGAGGTCATTGAGGTGGCAAGAAAGACATGATAAAGTCAAATTTGAGACCAATCTGCAGTCTAGTAGCTGATAGATTCAGAGGACATAATGTGAAATTATTTCTCTATCACGAAACTCCTCGTAACGAGCATTTTGGATAGACTTCTTGGGCAAAGTTTCCGTCAACGAAAAGAACAGAAGATCAAGACTTCTGCTATAGCGACAGAGGAGAGAGAAAAAAGAGAGAGGGAGAGAGCAGAAGAGATGCTAAGATAACTTTTGTACACAAGGCACAAGACAACTTACATCCCATTTGGCTTCATCCGTATCCTCCATGACCGTCTTCAGCACGTCACGACGATGCAGACGTTTGGAAACGTTTCGCAAACGTGACTGTACGTCTATGCCGGAATCCTGTATGAAACAATAATGATTCATGCATATTCAGCACCAGCCGATGATGAGCGATTATTCGGCGCGAGTTTTGAATCATCTGGGGGTGAGGAGCCGCTTTGAAATAACGAGCGAGGGGAGGGCAGGGATATAAAATGCAAGCGAACCTTGCTATCACCAGTACAGCCGGTGTCGACCCGCATTCGGAACCGATCGTCTGTCATCACTGTGTTGGCCTGTAAAAATGTAGAGTGAAGTATGCGATAATAATACAGCGAGAAAAAATGTGTGCCACAACGTGTCCTTGATGTCACCGCTCAGGTGCTTTTGAAGCCGAATTGGGAAGCACAATGGAAAGACCCATTTTGACAAATAAACAATACCGATTCTCTTCGTAGAACTATCATCCAAATAGATTTTGGGGATTTTGACGAATTGTGTCACACTCGATCTAATGAACCCAAATGCCCTATGATCCTGAGAATCCGCCTCAGCTCACAGGATATATGTCAAGAGGCGCGATTTTTTGTTGCCAGATGAACACCAATTAAGCATTTTTAGCATTTTTGACGTTTGAGCAATTCAAGATTCCAGCAATATATGTACGGTCATCCCAGGAGTTGCTCAATCTTATCATTTTGAAGTAATTCGAAACCTAAGTGGTGAAGATCAAAATCCGTGAAAATGCAACTAACGGCATTTT